TTTCCCTAGTCTCCTGCTCGAATCCTTGTTCAGGTCAAGGGAACGAGACTTGCTCTCGCTGCAACGTTTCTCAAACCCGGTCAAGTAACTCTTCTTCTTCTTCTTCCTCGAATCGTTGTATCGTTTAGCTCTGAGAAATGTTTCTATATCAAGACCTAACTTATCCAAAATGCTGTTCTTTCCCAAGGATTCCACCTCTCTATCTTCCTGTAACTTCATCTGGGATCTCTCGTCAAGCCATGCTTCCGCCACATGGACAATGAGTCTGTCAGCATCTTCCCTCTCAACCACCGGAGACAGCTTGCCACCCGTTCGCCTTATATCATCCTCGTAGTCTTTAACCGCTTCCGCAAACTCGTCGCACAGATTTTCCAGAAGAACTCGCCCTCTTCTCTCCCGTTCAAGTTCTTTCAAAGTTTTCGCGAAACAATGCTTCACTTCCCCAAGCTCTCGCCCTAACTTCCGATGCAAACTCTCTGACCGTCTTCTTAGTTTCCTCTCATCCTCCAACTCTTCTCTGATTGATTGTATCGCAGCTTTGAGCTGCTCTTGTTCCATTCTCCTACTTGTGAACTTACTCCCCTTTATCTTGTCGATACCTCTATTCCCGTGTTTCTCTTGCTGTAACTCCTTAATTCCCTCTCTGCATTGATCCAACTCGGTCTTGAGAGCTTTGACCAACGACATATTAGCAGCGTTCTGTTCTTCGAGGCTCCATATCCGGTTTAGCACCTTGAGAAGCTTCGTCGAGGTTTTCAGACCGTAGCTCAGGGACTTGAGCTCCAAAGAATCAGTTGGAGTAAACCCCTTCTTACAGGCTGCAGCCTATACACACAAACAACACAGGATTGCAGTCTAACCTTATCAAACTCCCAGCCTAAGACAAGATTTCAGAGAAAAGAAAAAGGAAAGAGGCCACTTTGGTGGGAGGGAGAGCAAGGTTTTACCTCCAATGAGCTGCTGTAACTTGCACGAGAGACCGGTTCCATGGCGTGACCACTTGTCTGGACCAGTCTATGATTAGGACCAAGTGTTGCAGAGATTTGTCTCCTCGAGCCACCCGTGCTTAGTGCCTGCAATTGACATAATCAGAGCAATTTCTGCAGAACCAAAACGAAAACCTAATAATGTTCACTTGCAGAATTCTCTGTTACAGATCGAAAAGCCATAATTCTTCACACAGTGTATTTCCTGTCGGAGAGAGGAACAATGTATTTTTCCGGTGAAATTGCCGGACAATAAAGATCACGACTTTACATGGAAAGAACGAAACCCTCAAGACTAAACCCTACGTAAACCCATCAAAGCATTAAAAAAATCGATTTTTATCTCCTTAAAAGTAAGGCGAAAATGGCACCTGATGATCATGAGGCGGTCCACCATCCGGTGGTTCCACATCGGAAGCCTCGTCGTCTTCAACCTTATCTCGGCGACGAACTCGCCGCATCTTGCGAAGCCCTCTTCGCATGATCGGTGGCCGGAATTGCTCGACTTCCCACAAATTCGCGCATAGCTTCCGGGCAGAAACCTCCGCCGCCGCCGGATTCGTCAAGAACTCCTTACTCTCTACGGAGGCCGGAGCTCCGGCTCGCGGCGGCGGAGAGAACTCGAGGCGCCAAATGGGTGGAGGAGTAGAGGGACCGCCTCTCTTATAGCTATTGCCCGCCAACAAACCATGTCTCCACTTTTTCTCCATTTCTTCTCCTCCTCCTCCCTCTCCTTCACAATCTCTCTCTCCCACTTTTTCCTCTCTCATCCTCTCTCTCTCTCTCTCTCCGGGAATTTTCCAACTTTGCTCTGTTTTCCTGTTTGTTTCTATGTCTAATTTGACCTTTTTAGCCAACGAAACCCAAACAGAGGGTGAGCCTCCCGGACAACCCTTATGTTCGAACTGTACAAGCAAAAGTTCGAATCTTTTTGGTTGTATCTGGCAGTTCGTCGGGAACTGGATAGTCTCTGCCTCTATCTCCAGTCTCTGTTCTTAACCCCAAAAAAAAATCTCGGATGGAATGTGGGCTTACTTTCCTTTAAAAAAAAAAAATTATTATTATTATTATTATTAATATAATAAAGGCATAAATAAGGTCATCTGTTTTTTTTTCATCATATTCCATGGCAAGGTGATATATTATTCGAGTGTTATTCGTGAAATGCAGCTATATAATTTCGGTTGCTTATATGTGTATATATGGAATTTGCAATATTACAAACGGAACCAATAGATTATAAAAAAAAATGCAAAATTGAAATCGAAATGTGTGGCCCCGTCTTTGAACAAGCTGTAGATGTTTAAACCCTAAAATATTACTGTGATCGGCCCCTCAAAACCACTGTAAATCACCTCGTCCACAACAGCCTGACCGTTCATAAAAAAAAAAACTTTTTTTGTACATTCGGATGCCAAAGACATGCATGGAATTAAACACAAGACGAGGGTTTCTTCGATTTGTTTTATATTCCAAGAATCCAAGTATTTCCATAACATCTCTCGCTCCCGACAAAGAGTGTTGGCAACTCTCTTGGCTTCTACGCGTGTCCCAACAAATCCATAGATTTTTGGATTCGAACTGTAAAAAAAAAAAAAGGATACATTTTTATACTATAAATGGCGTGTAAAAATGTTAATGAATGGCTTTTTTCTACTATTTAAATTAGGCACAAAACGATTCAGATTATATTTGGGGATATAGTGAAGATATCAAAACCAATGTATAAACAAAATATATATATATACACATACATAATTATGAATGTCAAAACCAGAGGTTTGGGTCAATAAAGCAAATGTAAAAAAAAAGTTAAGAGGGTGATGATTAACAGCACTAACCATTCGGTAACGCTAGTAAAAATATGGGGATTGAGGGGTTAGGTTAATAGGGTAATTATGGTGTTAAATGGGAGGTGAAAACCGAACTGATAAAAAAACAATAAAGCCATTAACTCGTGCTAATCTACATTCACGTATCCATAGTAATTTTGCTTCAAAGATTCCCCTTTTCCTTTTGGCTTCTCCTTTCACATACATACATACATACATACATACATACATACATACATACATACATACATACATACATACATACATACATACATACATACATACATACATACATACATACGTCATACATATTTTTTTTTTTGAAAATTACGGGGAAGAAAAAGGACCGTAAATAAAAACTAGGTTTTAGGGTGGACCACAAGAGGGTGAAAGTCCATGGGAAGGACTGCGTCTAGAGACAAACAAACATGGCTTTGATGATGAAACGTACAGTGACATGTGCCATGAAAACGATGCCCATATGTTTTTTTTATTATTTGAATCCTATGCTATGCCTCGTGGGAAATTATTTATTACACGTTATAACTTGACAGCGGAAAAAAAAAGACCCCAACGTTACAATTTTCTCATTAATTTAATGGAAACAAGTCTTACCATCCCATCTTTTTTTATACATACATATATATATATATATGTTCGTGTGTATATATATAGATTCGTGCGCAGATGACGGATGATGGACTTGGGGGGGCATTTTTATGAAATGGGCCTCAAAGCCGAACAAAATATGGGTTTTTGATATTTTTATAGGGCCTTTGGACACAAAGCCCATGCACATGCATGCATTTACTCAAAACATATACGTGTGTATATATGTGTATGTATGTATACCCAAGTCATAGTTAGGTACTTCCATTAGCTTATTGAATTAAGAAATGGGAAATTAGGCATGCCTTTATAAAATAAAAGAAAACATTCCCAAAATGACGTATCTCACTCAGCTTCCGGCGTAGCGTAGCTGTGGTCCAACCAATATTATTATTATTATTAGTTGCTTCTATCAATTAATTCACATAAAAAAATAAAAATAAAAATAAAATTTCCAGGGACAGCAACAAGACAAGACAACCCGGTTTCAGAATTCCACCGGTCGCAAGTAGATCACACGAAAACAAAGTGCCTCGGTTTTCTGTTCTGGCGTGGATCGAGGACCTGTCTGATAAATATAAACTTCCGGGGGTCGATTGAAAACATATTAAACCTTTAAGTACCAAAATGCAAATAAAAATATTTTCGAGCTTTCCGACAAGACAAAAACTCAAACGTGCGTTCGAAGAAAGAAACTAAAGCCGGAGAGATTTTCTGAAGACCTTTTTGTAACATTTTCTGTCCAAGAGCTCATAAGAATGAGGGAAAAAAAAAACTACGGAACGATATCGAGTCTGGGGTCGAAGCAAAAACCGGTGAAGAGTTGAAGAGGGAACCTCTTCGAGACAGGACATTTCTGAGACCATCTCCATTGCCTCTGGTTCAAGTCGAAGGTCAGAAGCGCTGGCGCTCCATAGCTCTGTATGTATACAAGATCGTCCGTTCCACCGCTCGCGAAAACGTCGTCAAACTCTCCGAACCCTTGGAAGAATCTCTGCGGCATTTTAGCAATCTCTTCCCATTGTCTCTCCTTCAAAACCCAGATCCTGATCCCCTTAATTACATCCGGTCTGTCTGCTTTCCCGATTCCTCCGACCATTACAAGCCTCTCCCTAAGGTTCATCAGCCGTCCACAGGTCAGAGGGCATGGCATCGGAATGAAGGTCCTCATCAAGATTCCACGGGAAGATCGGTTCGATAGGTTGAAAGTGATCAGGCCATGACGGTGATCAGACGTGCCGCCCAATGTTGAGTAGATCAAGAAGTATAATATTCCATCGCAGATGATGCTCTCGTCCCCTCCCCTCCATCCCGACAGGACATCTGTTACATATGTTCCCCATGTCGTTGTTTCCGAGTTATAGATGTGAATGGACAGATCCCATTGGAAGAAATTCCCGGGGACTTGCTTGGATCTCACGACCGAGACTGAATAACTCTGCAGCTCTCGGTTCACTGACATCCCGAGGGCAGTGTAATCTGTCAGTTTTGGACACGGTGGATCAAGAATCCTCCGCCATTGTTTGGTGATGGGATTACAGACATAAATCTTGTTTCTACAGTCATTGTCCATGAAACAGACCAACCCAGAAGACGAAGCAACAAACCAGTTGGATCTCTCGATGCAAGGAAGATCAATGCCGTACCATTTTTTGAGAACAGGGTCATAGGCATAACCTGACGGTTCATCAGAACTCATGAACATGAAGTACCAAGGTATCTGGGAAACAACGTTAGAGAAACTCCACAAGAACCTTCTGGAAGTGACGATCCCGTTCCACCGTTTGCACACGGAACCTGCCCTGAAAATGCTTGCAATCGGAAGATAAGAGAAAATCCTTTCCAACAAATCATCGGGAAGGAGAAAGTCCATAGAGAAGGAGGCATTTTCTTTGGTTTCTTCATCGCTCTGCTCAGAATAAGAATCGCCATTTTCCACGATCTCTCCATTCGTATAGTTGGAAAGATGGTTGGCCCATGATGTCTCTGCTTCCATTTTCAACCTACGAAACGACATTGGAGAAAAAACCCGACATTTAAACTACAGATACAAGACATCTCGGAGAAGGTTTCTGAAAATTCAACACTTTTTCCTATTCATCCTTCCTTCAACAACTTTACAAGGACACCACCATGGACCTCCTTCAAGACACAGCAACAGACAGTACAATATTTCCATTCATGAAAGACAATAGATTCAGGCGACAAAACACAAAGACACTACATTCAGAAGGAAACATAACGCCAATAAAACCAGAAAGATTATCACTTTATCACAGCATTGAAACCTCAAAGGTAATGGCAGAAACAAAAAGCTTGGCGATCAAGACGAAACCTTCAGAACGATTTCAGTCACATTCACAAGAACAACAGAGGAACGTTCACATGGAAACCGCTACAACAGAGAGAGGAATACACAATCTATCAAGACAGAACCTTTTGATCAGATTCTCTTATGGGGCATGCACAGCCAAACTGGTAAACGCCATAAACAAACACCGAAATAATCTAAGAAAACAGAGAAATTTTCAGGCTTTTATTACGCGATCTTTTCCATGTTTCACGCTGAAATAACATTTAGACACTACAGATACTGCATTACATTTTCGAGACTGAATCCAAAAAGAGCTTGTTTCATCCTTTCAACGTCAGGATTTCTCGGAGAATTAATTGAATAAATGGATGTTAGGTATACAAAAATAGATTTTTTTTTTCTCTCCAGAAGGTGTATTAGGCTATACGCACACATCAATCAAACATTGGAAAGCACCACGGCAACATCAGCACACCAAACCCAGCAATCACAGATTACGAACACCAAACGGATCGACGAACTGCCGGGTGTGAAAACGAAAACAAACGCTGAAAGAAGAAACGGGCAGGAAAACAAAAGCCCATATCAGTTCACTACGTACCTTGTCCAAATTCTCCCTCTGGAGAAACGCATCAACCCGGATTCGTCCGAATTCTCGAGATTCGGCGGAGAATTTCGGGAATTTGGAGACGAACGGAGGTATTTGACGAGGAAATGCAAGCGGTGGGTGGGTAGCTCCTCCCTTTCAGAAGACGGAGAGATGGTGGAAAGGCCGAAAGATGAGATCTTTCCCAGAAATAGAAGTTAACAATGAAATGGGTCTCTCAGGAATTCGGCTAATAAACAAAAAGTCGGTCCATTCATCAAGAAAATGAAAGAGAGAAGCTCTGCCGCTGCGACGTTGTGGAGAGAGAGAATGCGCTGTGTTCAATTCGGTATAGTTAAGGAAAATTTATAAAAATAATCAAACGAAGAAAATATAATGATAACAAACGATAATGCTGTCTAACACAGTCTTATAATTAATTAAACGATAGCCGTAGGTTTTTCTTCGTACGGTTATGTTTATTGTAAAATTTATTTATATTGTTCTGCAAAAAACTATTTCGCTGAGGTATATTTAAATAAATTTTCCGTCTATATTTATTTTGTTTTTAAGAATTATAAACAAAACCATATATTATTAGATTAAGTATTACTACTATTATTATTAAATATGCTTTGTTTTTAAATTTGGTATATACTTGGGAAACGAGAGGAGGATTGCCGAAAATGCCGTGCCACATGGTTAACTTTTTTGTCCTTATATTTTTTATTTTCTGAAAAATAAGAATAATATATATATATATATATATATATATGTTATACTTTGCTTTTTAAACACTGAAAGGCCTGTTTGTTCTACTCTCCTTCATTGAGGCTTCACTGCTTCATAGTGGCCCCCTCCCTTTACCTCATTCGCTTCTATGAAATAATAATAATAATAATAATAATAATAATAATAATAACCAGAATATTTATGGCTTCGCGGTCACCAGCTGCATTAAGTTGTAAAGGCGTGAATAGATCTCAAAACTATACACATTCCTATAATCATTTCAATTTTCCTATATTTAGTTATATACGATGGGCATAGCATATGTCCCTTATTTGATTCCGTTGTCCAACTCATATTATAAAACACAAAACAAAGTTGAGTAACACAAATTCATGTTTTTTTTTTATAATTAAAAAATTTACAGTATCTTTGGTACAATTATATTTTTTAAGAGAATTGAAAAAATCCGTTTGAATATTTTTTTTTCCAATGATGACTCAAATTCATGGTAAGAGTAAATCCATACGATTTACAAGAAAAAGGTATAAATGAGTACTTAAAAAAATAGGCTTTTCCCCTAAAAGCATGAGTATCCCTTTGCCTAGTGTCCATTAATTGGTCTACAAGCATATATTATTATACTACTGAAAATAAAGCCATCATGGTCTAATAATAATAATAATAATAATAATATATAGTGGAACGTTGTAATACGTGGAATTTTTAATTTAAGGAGAGTTTTGTTAAATAAAATAGAACATCAATTAATGTGTACTGGTTATGGGAAAAGGGGCACAGAGCAAGAAATCGAGACACGAGTCAAAACAGACAGTGACATTTTGCTCACCCTCCTTACTTCATTTCATTATTTATATGTACGTTAATGAACATACATAATCACGCTTCCTATTTTCAGCCTCATTTAAGGCTCGAGGAAACCATCTTCTACGTTTTTTTTTTAAATTTTTTTAGTGATCCTGATTTTCAATCTATTTGTTATATAGTAAGTTATATATTTTTTATTTTCATAATATTTTTGTATATAAATATTTGTCGTCTATATTCTATGCTCGATTTGTTATTTTATCATTCGATCATTGATATCTAAATTTTTGCTATAAGAATCTCTAAGAAACTACCAATTACTAACTATATATTTGAATCGGAGGCTATCTAAAACAATTTTTTTGAGTAATTATTAACGTATCGTTCGAACGAGTGTGAATCCAAACTCATAAAAAGGCTAATTTAATTAAATTTATTTTTTTTAAATTTATAACACTGTAAAAAGATGAAAAAAAGTGATGGGATATATATAAGAGCATATACCAAAAAGTAAAGTATAAACACGATGACTAAGTATTAGGGATCCACTGACTAATCTTGAAACTCACAGCTACCATTTTTTTCTCCCTAAAAATATATTTAAATTACAAAATAAAATCACAAAAAATTGTATAGTTCATTCAAAGCAATAACCCTTAAAAAGATTATAAATTGAATTTCTTAATTGAATGAATTGGGGCCGGGATTTAAGGCCCATTAAATTATTAGGGTATCAACGTTGGGTTTGGGCTTTCAGCTAGGGAGGGGAGACAGAGGGAGGGGAAAACCTTCCTAGGAACACAGAGTCATCGTGTTTTCACTTAGCAATCCACAGCAGGACATTAGAGTTCTCTTTATTGTCTGGTTTTACTACAACATCGGACAGGGCGTGGGATTTTCATATTATGGCTCGCTTTCAGTATGCTAAACAAGAAAAGATAGGTGAAATATGGAACAGTAGGCAGACCAAACGGGTTAGTGACCAGAAAGAACATGCAGATGCTTGTTTACCAGGAGAGTAGGGAATTCAGGAGACATAAGCAGCCTTCAGCTTCGGCGTTTTCTGCTTCACGAAGAACGCGGACAATACGCTTTTGCTGCGGACAGGGGCGTGAATGGTCTCTTGTCTCGGATTGTCAAATGACTTGTGTGCTGTCAGAGGCTTCGCAACTTCCATATCCTGCATCAACAAAATAATTATTCATTGATCAGTTTCAACAACTCATTCCTTGAGGTTAAGCTGTTGGCAGAAACCAGCAATAGGCATGGTTAATGACTTCACATCCAATCTCAACGCGTTTTAAGGGATTCTCTAATGCATTGATGGAACTTATTGGTTTCGGAGATATCACCTTTGGGGCAACACCATATGTCTGCATCATGCTGGTGGGTGCAGGGCCTCCTGATAGCTGAGAGCCAGCTGAAGGCTTCTTGTTTATGCTTTCTTCATCATCTGCATAAATTGGAATATCACCCTCTGTTTGAGAAAATAGTAGAGACTAGATGCATAAAAATGTGTTTTTTTTTTGTGTTCTTGTTTCCCTCACCTAACAGATGGAACACCCCAGAAGTTTTTGCAAAAGCTTTTGGATCTTTTGGGCTGTAAAAGCGTTTCAGCAACTTTAGTTTCAAGAACATTGACGATAAACAGTACAAACCAGAGATAGATACCCATCAGTGACTCATGAGAAATGCTTGACGGCCTAACCTTGGAGCAGTAGCTGCTGTTCCTTTTAGGGTGGACTTGGTATCTGACCCTAAATGCCAGGAGAGTGATTTCGATGCAGGGGCATCTGTGTGAGTCACAAGAAACATAATTCAACAATTTAAAATTTCCCACTCACAGTAATTAGAAAATGGAAAACCTGCTAACAAAAGAATTCCCAAGAGCAGGAGCATCAAACCTGAAGGTTGGAGACGGGATATAGCTTGATAGTGATTTTGTATTGTGTCAGATCGTCTGAGAGGACTGAAGTGTACCCTCTTGTTGACAGAATCTAACAACAGCCAGAAAAAGGATAGAGGAGATTACATATGTGCACTGCAGCCGTAGGGAATTTTAACAACAGCACACAAAGGATCTTACTGGGTAGAATGTAATGCTTGTGATGCCTAGGGATCAATGCCAACAGTTGTTGCTGTCTGAGACCCTCTTTATCATTGTATACCCGGCATGTAAGAAGTTGCTGACATATAAAAAAACACAACTTTGAGGCAAGGGGCTACATAAGCAGGATTCATAGAGACATATAGAGGGAAGCAGTTACCTGATTCACACAAGAAACTCTTAGCTCCATAGTTGATATATCCGAATTTTGCTGCTCAAAGAGATCGGTTAGCTTGGAGGCTACAGTTCCCAAATGATCGACAGCATTAACCAGAGCCTTCACAGCATAGTCTTTCAAATTGTCCAGTACCCTAACAAAAAAGTTATTATACTGAAGAAGTAAATAATAAATGAAGGCAACCCATTTGATCACAGTTTGATGACTTTTTCTGTATGGTCATTATCAAGAAACTTTATACAGATAGATAAGCTAGAATCCTGAAACTCGAGCAGGAGAGCTAAAATCCCAAGTTATCTGTTGTAAGGGGAGACTTATAAGCAATTCAAACTGCTAAAGAAACAACAAGAATGGTACACAAGAAAACGAGGAGCTACATCTGCTTTTGCTCGCTATGAAGATACGACTTCTCACAGTAATCTGCCGCGGAGTAAAGTTGAGGCCTCAAGTTTTTGAGCTCCTGTAACATAGCCACGAAGAAGAACATGAGCACACACAAATTCCAAATCTTCATAAATCATTTCGACTAGCATGTAATGCTGCCATCACTGATCGATCAGAACTATTCTAAACCTTGAAATGGCTCCTAAAAGCTATAACAGCAATGAATCATCACAAAAAACCCCCAACAAATTGGCAGTCTTTACACAAGTTGACAGTTATCCGCAAGAACTGTCAAGTCCTTCCACGAGATCACACGACCCTTTCGCACCAAAGACCAGGAAAAGGCAGCAGATGAACAAATTACAGGCGATAAATGAGCCCCGAGACATACAGACAAACCATTCCAACATCGACGATATCACAGATCTAGCACAGACAAGGAGCATGATCCAGTCACGAGGAACCGATACTACTATCGTATGATGTAACTTCGACGGAATCTAATTAAACCAAAAGCGGGCAATCAAATCCAGAGAGAGAGATGTCTATAAAACAGAAGACCTGTAACGCCTTGACGAAGTTCTTGCTTCGCTCCATGGAGACCTCGTCGAAGGTCATCGCCGGATTATTCGGCTCCGATTTATCCAACTCCATATGCTTGATTCTCTTAGGCCGTCTGCTATAGAAGCTCCGGAGATCAACCCTCCAATAACCGTCGAAACGAGGATCAACAGAGCAGCCACTGTACGATTTACGTTTCTGAAATCAGGTATTGGATCAATGTCTCTTCGGATTTGTGAGGTTAGATTTCTGGTGAGAGAGAAAGAGAGAGAGGAAGGGTGAGTGAAGTAGAAGCGATTCCGGTGGGAGAAGGAACATAGACTTTGGGAGAAGCAGTTTTTTTTTTTAATTACTACTATGTTTAAAAAATTGCAAAAAAAAAAAAATCAAAGAAACAACCACTGGTCATATCAAGAATTCAAGATTTTCTTAAAAGAATTCAATAAAATTATAACACCCAAAAAAAAAGAAAATAAAACTTTCGCCAGAAATAAATTTTGTTTAATTTGAATTATCGGAAAATCGTAAAGAATTGTATAATCTCTGTGTGATTTTTATTGTGGTTGTTGGTAAGCCATTAATAAAGATGGACTCTCTTTTTTTTTTTTTTTGGTGCGGTGGGTTTACATCGAAGCATTAACGTAACGAACTAAAAACGGAAGGTGGAGCCATCGATAAAACAACACGAGGGTGAAATGACGGAAATAACCTTACATCGACACGTCAGCAGTGACCGTCACCCCCTGAGATCTACACGTGTAATGAGCTGTCAAACGGGCCTGTCCAACGCACGTGTTGGCCCATCTCCGAACGATGCCAGCCAGCCCTCCAGGACCTGGAAATCATCAACTAATCATCACATTCACAAAACTGCGATTTTGCTGTCAAAGGAATCTATGATTACACAATTTTTTTTTGCTCAATCGGATGTCTTGGATCAAGACTGAGACTAATCTCGGGATTGTCTTGGACCGAGATTGAGACTAATCTCGGAACCGAAAACAACTGCATTAACTATACAACACCTCCTAAGTTTACATTATCGAACAATTCCTAGACAAGCGCGATTCAACTCGGCCCAAGTCCAAGAAATCTAGGCTTAGAATAAGACTTGGTTCGGACCAGAGATCCACGCGAAATGGCTGAGAATTCTGCGGAGCGAACGAGAAAAGCCATGGCGAATGCGAGCGGGTATGGAACCTAGGACAAGCTAGATCAGAATTAGGGCGAGAAATGGCATCTTTCGCAGAAATTTTTCCGGGAAAAGAGAAACGGAGAAGGAATTTTGGAGAGGAATATGCTTGGATTGCGAGGAGATTCAGCAGAAAATTATTTTCGAATAAATGAGATTAGGAGTAAATGAGATTAGGAGTGGGCGTTTCGAGAATCGGTTTGATTTTGAGATAGGAATATATCGATTTGGTTTTTTGTTTTTACAAAAATAGATACCAATTGATTTTTATATTGTATTCAATTTGATTCTGTTTCGGTTCGATTCCGGTTTTTATTAAAAAAATAAATTTTTTTTAAAAAATTCAGTTTTTCATCATTTTTTAAAATTCACTTCAATTTTAAAAAATTCGGTTTTCTAAAAATATTACCATTCAAATTCTTAGAAAAGTTTGGATCGAAAAATGTATTTTTTAGTTCAATTCGATTTGATTCTTCGAAACCGAAAACGTCTACGGACATACATGGTCGATTATTTTTTTTTAAAAAAAAAAGAAAAGAAAAGCAACCCAAATCCATGCATTATTGGGCTTTCATTGGACACTAGGTTCGTTATTTGCGGTATCAGGCTAAGCCCATTTGGCACTATACATTCCATTATAAAATCAAAAATCAAAATTTTATGAGAATAATATTTCCATAAATGTAATAAATCCAAGATCTCAAAATCTCCTTTATAAATATAAATATGTCGTTATTTTAGGACCACCTGCATTAGATTCGATTAAACATGTGGCGGTGCTTTCTCCTCTGCTAGCTGTGGGAGACAAAAATCATATAGGTGTCGAAAATATCTTAGCTTCAAAGCAACGACTTTTTTTTTTTTTTGGTCGGTTTCTTATCTCTTCCTATTTTAGACGACTTTTTTTTTTGTTTGAATAAAGGACTTTTAGTTATAGAACTTATTCTTTTTTTTTTATCAATTATAATACAGTTTGCTTCCTAAAATAACATATTCAAATTCCATTTTTTTAGGCTGTTATATCTTTCTAAAAAAATATACATTTATTTTATCGATTTGCTACTCAAATTAGTTTATATTAATTACTTTACTAACAATATCCAAAAAATGTGTAACGCACAAGTCAAATCCAGCAAATTTGACCATCAATGGCAATTTATAGCCATTTTTTTTCACTAAAATGTCATGTTATCTAATTATATTAAAATATATATATATATATATATGAAGTATAATTACATATGACATACTAAATATAATGTAAACGGTTATCTGATAAAAAAATAACCCCTTTATCAGATTTTCCAGCTGTTTTTTTTTTCTTAACAAAATAAAGCAGAATATTGAAAAAGAACCATGAAAGCAAACAAAAACTTTAAGAAAAAGGAAACAAAAATCTTGGACTCAGCCATGTGTGTTGACAGCTTCCCAGACCAAGTTCTTGCCAACGGGGTTGGCCGCGTCCCTGGCCTGAATCGCCGCTGTCCTCAGCGTCCTAATGGTCCACACATTGGCCTCCCACCACGACAGGCTCCTGTACGGAAGGTTGTGCTTCTTGCAGAGTTCCCGAACCACCGGAGAAACTCGCCGGAGATGGCATCTCGGCAGCCTCGGGAACAGGTGGTGCTCGAGCTGAAACTGAAGCCCGCCGAAGAACCAGTCCATCCACGACCGACATGATATGTCCAATGTCCCACCTGTCTGTTTCTCGAACCAGTCGTTCCCGTTGGGCGGGCCTGTGTACACGTCGGCGGCGAAGTGGTTCAGACAGAACTGCACGTGCTGCAGCGCCGTGACGGTGAAGCTCGTCAGCACGAACATGAATCTCTCCGGCCAGTTGGGGAGGCAAGAGACCAGGAGAGGGAACCATGTCCAGAACACCAAAATGCCCGCAATGTTCAGTGCCCTTTCGGGGACGTGACGCTTCGAGAACAAGAGCAAGAACGTCTGGATAAAGAGATTCACCCTACCGACGCACATCACTGGGTAAAACGTCCAGTGCTGGTAGCTGACGAGGAACCGGGCCAATGGGTCGAAGTCGAGTTTCCGACCGTAGAACTTCGACGTCATCGAGGAGAAGAACTTGGTCGAGACGGCGAAGACAGGGATGTGCTGTAGATCTGGGTCGTGATCGAGGCTGTTGCAGGCAATGTGGTGGGCATTGTGGGTCCACTTCCACCACGCGATCGAGATTCCGGTGAGACAGTTGCCGGAGAGAAGCTGAGCCAGTTTGTTGTAGCCACGGCTCGTCATGACGTTGTAATGGCCCGAGTCGTGACCCACGTAGGCGCTCTGGATCCAGAGGAGGCCGAGGACAACGGCGGAGAGGAAGTGGGCCCAGACGCTGGAACAGGCCAAGACGCCGTAGAGGACAGCGATGAACATGAGGAAGACGCCCGTGAGGGTGCAGACGGTCACGTGACCTTTGTTCTCGAAGAGACCGAGTTTCGTGAACTCAGTGGCCATGCGGCGGTAGTCCCGAGAGATGTCGGAGACATGGAAGTCACGGAGGTGATAACCGGTGAATAACTTGTCGAGGTGGGCCCAGGCGGTGCCCGGATGGTAAGCGATGAACGCGTCGGTGACGTCTTGTCCGGCGAGATTTCTGATCGGAGCATCGCCTCCGGGATGGGATTTCACCCAATCGGTAACGTCATATACCTTGCCCTGAATCGAGATCCATAGATCTCCCGGCTGGTTGTGTTTCTTCAGATCCTCGCTCGTAATGTACTTCTTCTTGTCTGTGACCTCCGCCATTGTTGAAGCCCAGAGAGAAGAAGATCCGATCAACAGAGAGGAAACGAAGGGTTCCAAATCTGGAATTTTTTTCTGGATTTCACAGGAACAATCAAAACCCAGATTTAAAAAACAAAACCTTTTCTCCGATTCTTCGACTCTTCCCCTTTATGGCAACGGAAAGGGGAGATCTTTGAATCGGATTTGATCTAGGGTTGAAGCGTTCTTCCTCCCCTCCCCGAATCTTTCTCTCTGCTCCCTATGCTTATCTCGTCGAGCCCTCTCTCTCCTTTTATTATGGTTTCCCTTGTTTTAATTACTGTTTCGTAAATAGTAATTTCACACCGATTTTTAATTTTTTTTTTCCCTAATGACGACCGAATTACCCGGCCAAACAAATAAATAAACAACTAAAAGGAGACAACAAAAAAAATCACCCGTCCAATCAAATGAAAGCGTATCGAAACGTGTGACCGAAAAACGTATAAATCTACATATCCCCGAATTTTTTTTAAAATATCAAAAGTTATAAAATAAAAAAAAAATTGAGTTACATTTTATTTTATATTCCCTGCAATGATTTCGTGCGGTGACGTGTACACGTAAAGATGGGCTCTTCATTCATGTTTGCTGTGTGACTTTTTGAAGAATTGGTTTAGATGAATCGTTGCGTTAGAGGACCATCATACGAAATAATAATAATAATAATAATAACGAAAAAAAAATGGTTGGTTATGTGATAATAGTGCAATATGCCACGTGTGTTCGGAGATATTTTTGTTAGCTTGTGATTGGAGCGTCGGTCCATTGTTTTATACTTAAAGTATGGGTGGAAACGTGGACTGTCGACGGACCCCGAAAAATTTAAGAAATACCCGAAAAAGTAACCGTAAAAATAAATTATTTCTTCCAAGAAAAAACGCACAAAATTAAGGTTTACATTTTTCATAATTTACTTTCATTTTTCGTAAGACCCAACAGTTGGTGGTCCAATGCCACCAATGACTGAGAGGTGACAAAGTCATTCTCAAGATCATGGGTTCGATTTCACTGTTGGGAAGGAAGGTAATTTTTAGACTAAAATGGTCCATATACAAAGGTTGGTCCCGGACCTAGGGTGGATGTAGTCGGAGAAATCATCCTAATTTCCTACCACATCTTTAAAAAGAATGAAAGTACCTACTACCCATGTAATTATAGAACCTTGCCCTTACTTTTGGATATTAATTCATGATTGCACACATCTATACAACAGAAAATATGAATATTTTTTTTGTAATATTTAATTCAAAACCGAAGAAAATATATCAAAAAAGCTTAGGAGCGCGTATTGAATTGTTCTCCTTCTCGTTGGCATTCATAAAGAGGAGCAGATGGAGATGTGTCTCATTGATTGAATCAAAGGGCAAGAAGAAAACAACACAACGTGTGTGTGCGTTGTCTTAATTTCGATATGATTGTTTTCTACATTTGGAAATGGTGTATTATATATAACTTATCTTCCCAATTGCAAGTACGAAAGTCAACTTATAGATTTGAGGTTTTGGATTTAATTCCTTTCATAGAAAATCCTAGGGAAGAGATGATTTTGAAATGTGAATACGTATATATATATATACACACACAAAAAGCGAATATACGTTATATGTTATAAACTCTCTTACCCAATGTTTGAATTTAGTTTAATCTATAAAAAAAAAAAAAGCGAAGCAACATAACAATTTTCGTGTAATAATGTTTTTTTATTCAAAGCCCATTAAGAGCTTTGTTTTATTTAAAGCCTAAGGCCCATTAAGGCCCAACAATTATTGAGGCCTATTAAAAGCCCTATATGTTAATTCGGATTCGGATTTGATCGGGTTAAAGACGTTGGGCTTTGGATCTGTTCAAAAGCCCGTTTTCTTTATTTATATATAAATAAATAAATAAATGAAATAAAAAAAAACAAGCCCTACCTTGTTCTTCTCTTTTCCATCGGCGACGACCACCGTTCCTCTGCCTCTCTCTCGCCGCCGGTAAGTGTCTCTTAGTCTTCTTCTTCTTCTTGCGTCGTTGTTTCCCGTCTGGGTTGACGAGAGTTTCGTCTCGTCTGCTACCTCTCTCTGTCGACGACGGCCACCCCTCTCTCTCGTCCGCTCCCTCTCTCTTGTTTGTCGACGAAGACGGCCACCCGTCTGTCTCTCTGTCGACGACGGCCGAAGATCTTCCGGTTTCACACAGCCAAAACCCGATCTTGTCTCTACAGTTCTTGTCTCCATGGCAGATCTCTGTCTTGACTAGAAATTATTGCACCATTGATATGGAATGGAATGAAGTTCTTAACTGTCGGATAATCGTTTGGTTTCTTTTGGTTTTGCTCTCTTTTTTGGCTGTGCAGGAAATTGCGTTGTCGTCTAGATATGAATTCGGTTCATTTCCAGTCACCTCATCCCATGCCTCACTGGTCTCCGATGCTACCTCCGGACCCTCCTCGTTCAAGCGTGTTCTGGAACACGAACAACGCATCTCATCAGCTTAAAGAGCTCCAAGACACGCTTAATCTGGCAAAATCGATGTAAGAAACACTGCAATTTCAGATCCCCTGTCGGTGATTTGTTATATTGTGTGACGTATCCGTTCCATTCAATAGGGAGAAAGAGCTGGAAGCATTGATGATGCTCAGAGATGGTAAGGGGGCAACGGAGAATGCAGAACAAGGGTCTGTAGCAGAGTTTTTGCGATATTTAGAAGATGGGAAGATGGATTTAGAACACCAGGCGACTCTTTCAGTGGAAGCAGCGAACTTGTTGATGTCAAAGCTGAGTGCTCAGTTAGACCCTTTTAGGTTTGTGGTTGACGAGAATAGTCCTTGGGAAGAGAGATCCTCGGTTGTAGGATTGGTGTCCAAAATGCAGAAATCCAAAAGGAACAAACTTTGGAGGAAGAGGAAGCGACAATGTGTTGCCCAAGAGCGTGCTAAGGCGGGTGCAGGCTGCATAGTTTGAAATTTTGTATGCAGGCTGCATAGTTGAGATTTACTTTGTCATTTTGTTTTTTTCTTTTGTATGGTTTCAGGAGCATGAACAATTCGAGCAAGCTAATCGAGAGGCCGATGAATGGAGGGCCAGGAAGATGGCCAAGGACATGGCAAACCGCAAGGTAACATCTCAGCAATATCAATGACATGATGGAATTCTATCTATTGCCCGTATTTGAGGGATTCTGCTTTCAGGTAGAAGAGATGAAGGCGATTGAGAAGGTCAAGGCAAAGCGAGAGAGAAAAAGACTAGAACCTGAGGTGTTTTTAGAGATTCTTAACATGCTAGCCATTAGAGATAAGTAGACTTTTTTGCTTGTGGTTCTACATCTGATCAGGTTTTCTCATGGATGTGAATTGCTTTTCAGCTAGAATTGGCTCTAATTGTTGAAGAACTTCAAAAGTTGCGGTCCCTAAGAATTGAAAAATTGAAGAAACAAGGTATGTGCTCCGTGTGGTTCAATGCACGTGATTTTTTAACAGAAGCAGCACTATGTAACATGTTTATCTGGAGCGAAACAGGCTATTTCCTCCCGGAGGAAGATGACAAGTTCTTCGAGAGTGTGCGAGCTGCAGTGGAGCAAGAGGAGAACCAAGCTCAATCTTCGATTAACACAGATGGCGATAATGATGTTGCCACTGCAGAGGAACCTGGTAAGAACACCGAAAGTGATGTCCCAATCAGGGACAATGAAACGAGCGAGGACATGAACGAAGGGAGTTCCACCGCACTAGACATTGGTAAGAAGGGACAAGAGAATGTGGCAAATCTACCCCTGGATTTCTACCACTACTACTATGGCAGCGATCATGATATCAGCAGACTTATTGAGGTGATCTTTGCATAGGTTTTGTTCTTTTCCTGTCCTAAGAAAGAATTCTACAGCTTGCACAGAATCACTGTGAATACGATTCTTGAATTTCGTACAGGTCAGAAGAGAATGGGATGCATATATCAGACATGGAGGAAGGTAAGAACACAACTGCCCCCACTTCTCTCTGAACACAACTGTTTGTTCATCCCTAACAAGATAAGATAATTCACTGTCCTGCAGCCGCATACCCGGTCATTGGGTCCTGCCCTCGCCACCCGCTAATGAGATATGGGCATCTTACATGGTGAAACCCAATGGAAATTCCGGCTAAATTCGTCCAACACTATCCATGTCGAGCAGGATTTCGGATAGTTTACCCCACTTTCTATCTGGTGGGTTTAGTTTGGTCTACTGTTGGTTATTGGATCCAAACTGTCGAGCTCAAAGCTCATTTCTGTAAAGTCATGTTGAAACCAGACGCTTATGTCTTAGTTATTGGATTCAATCTATCGATCTCAAAGCTCATTTTTTTAAAGTCTTGTTCTTTGAATGAAATCAGAAGCTTATCTCTTGTTTTCACTACAGTTCCACAAATGGATAGTTCACTTAATTTTAGTTCTCGTCATATGGCTATAATTATAACTTTGATCTTATAAATAATATTTCTGATCATAATGTAAACTATATCTATTCATGCTTAAATTGTCATATTTTCTACAATCTGCAAGTAGTTCACATTAGTTTCATCCGATAAGATACTGCAAAAACAGTTTAGGAAGAATGTGGGGAAGATGATTGTTGGGAAATTCAACGAAGAATGAATCACAACTGCCCATCTTCCCCTTTGATCTCGCAGGGAATACTTTCGTACAAAGTGCATTGATATTAGCACAACGCCGATACACACAATCCCTGTTTTTTCCTTCCGCAACACCAATAACATTTCTCAGAATACGCAAGAAAATCTCGCCGACGTTTCAGACGATCCACGGTACGAAAATCGTGGAGCGTCTAGAATAATCAGCTGTTTGTTCTGCGAAGGTTGTAAGAATGTTAGAGAAGCCTCAATCTCGGAGTACACTCGCTTCTCTGCTGGGTCCTTCGCTTTGAATAAACAATAAAAGCAACGCAATTTGTTCGAAAACGAGATCGTAAGAGGTGAAACCCGAACCAGGGATTAAAACCCGGATCCGGTAGATCCCAGACTCGGGACTTCGATTTCCGAAGGCAAACTTGGATTGAACACGCATCTACATCTGCGCTTCACCCATAGGACCTTCGATTTACAGATGGCAAAAGACGATAATGGAAATGGAAATGGAAATGAAGACCAAGAATTACGAAGCGGATGATGCTCAGTGAATACGAACCAAAAAGATTGGATATCATCTCGAATCACACGATCTGTAACTTCAGATATTCACTCGTCATCGCATCTTCCAACAGCGCGATCGAGTTTGCGACTGCCGCATCAAATTACAGAAGAGAGAGAGAGAGAGAGAGAGAGAGAGAGAGAGAGAGAGAGAGAGAGAGACGGCGAGGAAACATAAAAACCCTAGCTTGATAATGGTGAAGCCGTTGCTACTTAGATGTCTTATATAGAGGGGGGGGGTATGGATGAGGTGACGTGGACAAAGCCCATTTCATAGTTTGGGCTTTATTTCTAAAAAGTTTAGCCCATATAAATTTATGGGCCGATAAATGATGACTAATGTCTCTGCTGTAGTTATAGATTGAGATGAAATGAATGGACGGTGGTGAGTAAGGCCCAATATGACAGGCCCAAAAACGACACGTGCGAAGAATTTTTATTTAATGGGCACGTGTTATGTTATAAAAAAAACGTCGAATTTTTCTTAAATTCCAAAATAAAAACATTTTCTTTTTCAAGGGAAAAAGAAAGTTTCCATTTCCTTTCTCGGATCTTACCCTACGCAAAAACCTTGAATCCGATCTCCGCGACGAGGATTCTCGTCTCTCTGGTAAACTCTCGGAGGAGGAATCTGTTGCTTCCGTCGGTTTTTTCTGTGGCAGATAAGCTGCTATAGAGGGAGAGCTATGTTGAGTTCGATCGCTAGTTTGAAGGAGAACTTGAACAAGATCGTGCTTGATGTGCATGACAACGAAGATGACGAAGATCTTTCCGTCTACAGATCCTCCAATGGCGGTGATTTCTCTGGCTCTGACCGGAGGAATTCTAGCGGTATCAGATATTCCAGGTCCGTTTCAAAGTCTCCGATCGCCAATGGTTATGGGGCCGAATCGCCCGTTAATCATGAGGTATTTCTTCTGTTCTTGTTGCAATTTATGTTCGAAATTCAATTAGGTGGCCCATGGCTTCTTTTCCAGTTGATTCGGCAATCTGTATGTTTTCTTGAGTTTTGGGCATTAGGAAATTGGGAATAGCATTCCGCTTACCGTTACTGCAATAGTGCTATCTGGATAGAACTTTATCTCAGGACGGGGCTTTGAGTTGGGTTTTGTGGGATAAGCTCTGGCAAAGAGTTCGGTTTACTTGGCAAATTGTAGTAGTTGAAATCATGTTATGCCTGTTTTGTGGATGTTTTTTGTAGATTGAGATGTATAAAGCAGAAATCAGACAGCTTCAGGAAGCAGGATCAGAAATCAAGGCTCTATTAATAAATTATGCAGCTCTTTTGAAAGAGAAAGAGGTAACGTCGTGGCATTGGTGATGTATCCTTTCTGGCCTTCTCAGTTCTTACATCTACTCTGCCTTGTTTCTTTTTTCTTCTTCACACTGTGGCCTCTGGATTACAGGATCAGATTTCCAGATTGAACCAGGAGAATGGCTCATTGAAACAAAACCTGGCTGCAAGTAACAATGCTCTTATAGAGGCTAGAACCGACCTTTCCAGGGCATCAAACAATAATGCAATCCAGGTTTATGCCACTTCTATGTATTGCTGCTATTTTATCTTCGTCTTTTGGAGTATTTCATTTGACTATTAGGCTTCGTACCTGTCAACTTTTCCATATGTGTTTCTTGTGCAATTTGATACTGCTGCTTGCCAGCGACCTTCTGTTCAAGAATAATGCAGTTATTTTTTATATGGTGCATGGTATATGATGCCTACCTGTTTAACATTGCAACTGAGCCTTTTACATTTCTTTACTAGCATGGAACGCATGCCTGTCGTATAAGTTTATGCTAAGGCTTGTACTTCTGATATTATTAAGTGGAATTATAGGCTGCTAAATAACAGTTTGTGCAGACAATTGGCTATCATGTATAGTTGGCTAGATCTAAAAATCTTGTTTTTGGGTCCAAATACGTGCTCACTATATCAAGATGAAAGGAAGCTTGATATTGTCGTTTCTTTTTCAGTAGCTACCTCAACATAGTTATTTTAAAATTATTACCGACCCTTCTGTTTATTTGTCACGCTCAAGAACGTGATCACTCATTAATGTCAGAAACTATCAAATTAACTTGTGGTATTCAGGGAAACAATGATCACTTACCCAACAAGCTGCACAGATCTGTGTCTCATTCGAAAAATCGAAACCAAACGTACAATGGCATTGCCTCTAAATTTGATGGGTTAGGCAATGATTCCGTTTCACATGTAAAGGAAAAGGTAACGCCATTCTTTATTTCGTTTTTTGTTCAAGGTTAATCCTATTTGTTTTCTTTAACATTCTGGTGTTTATTAGATATATATGTTGGGAGTTTTAGGATAATTCCTGATTGTTCTGCGTATAGCTAATATTATGTTGTGAGCCGTTCTTCTTGTTAATGAAAATGCTTTATGTTGTTCTGCTATATGATCTTTGGTTTGAATACTGAGTTCTAAGCAACAATCTGAATGCATTTTAGGAGCTTGCAGATTCGCTAGAAGAGAGAAACAGAACACTAGCAGCTGTTCAAGCCACGCTTGAATTACAAAGAAACGAACTTGAGAAAGAGCAGGAAAATTTAGCAAAACTGCAGCTTGCATTGCAAGGTAGATAGCAGGATGTCAACTTGGTTGTCCTTTATATCTTGCTTATCTAGTATCTTATCCTCCTTACTGTTTTTTCACTTCATCAGAGGAGCGCAGACGGAATGAAACTTTTGAAGAAGAACTCGAATCTCTAAGGTTAGATAAGGAACAAGTAAGTGGAATTGAGTTGAAGTGAACTTGCATTCTCTTTTTTCAATTAGGAACCACCATCTTTTAAGTTGCTGTTTTCTAATTTGACTATTGACTAGATGTTTACTTCATCCGTTTGCAGACCTCCTTGGAAATGAACAAATTACGTGGCGAACTGAACGCAAAATTAGCAGAAAGCAAACACCCACAGATGCAGTTGAATGGTCGAGAGAACCAAGCTGTGGGAATTGCCATGGAAAACTTGAAAGAAGTGAACAGAGCCCTGGAGAAGGAAAATACTGAGCTTAAGGTTTATCATGCTCCTAGCTTTTAGTATTCTACAAGTTCTGAATTAGCTGCTTGTGTTTCTCTATGTATTTTATCTCCTTTTTCATCTTCCTGTAGTTGAAAAAAAGTGAACTGGAGACTGCTTTAGAAGCTACCTTGAGGTCAACAAGTAACAAAGTCTTCCCAGATGCGCAAGAGGCTCTCGTTAGACATCCTAGTAACTTGAACAAGGTAAATTGGTCTTTGATGCTAACTGAAGTGAATGTGTTTGGTCCATGGAGCAAAAGGAACTTTGGCTTTATGCCCATCCCGTCCCTATTTGATAAAGTGTGAGTAAGCATTTATTGTTCCTTGTCATGCTTCGCATCATTTAATTAGGAGAAACCAGAAAGCTTCCCTGGAAAAGAAGAGATGGAGCAATCTTTGCAGAGGTTGGAAAATTCTTTGGAGGAAACACGGCATGAAAGGGATAAGGCTCGTCAAGAACTCAAACGGCTCAAACAACACCTACTAGAGAAGGTTATTCATCCTAAATTTCAGCTAATCTTCTTCACAATCCATTACAATTAGATCGCTGTCAGTCATCTTTGTTAGAGCTTTTTATAGCTGCACATCAAAATCTTGCTAATTGTCCTACTTTTCCTGTAAATGGACTGCTCAAGTTGTGTCATAAAACCTTATTCTCTAGTCCGGTTTTCTTATTGATTTTCCTGAGCAGTGATTCAGTAGTTTTCCTTGCTATAATTTTACAGGAATCTGAGGAGTCCGAGAAGATGGATGAAGATAGCAGACTGATTGAAGAACTCCGCAAGGCCAATGAATATCAAAGGTCTCAGATATTACAATTGGAGAAAGCTCTTAAGCAGGCAATTGCTAGTCAGGAGAATATCAAGATGAGCAATGACACTGAAATCCAGAAGTCCAAGGAAGTAATTGATGACTTGAATCAAAAGCTTACAAATTGTTTGAGAACAATAGAGGCCAAAAATGTTGAACTGTTAAATCTTGAAACTGCGCTTGGCCAGTACTATGCTGAAGTCGAGGCTAAGGTTGGTTTTAGGAAATTCTTATAACCCTTTTTTGGGCTCATGCTGGAGATCTGTCGTAGTTCATTTATGTGTTCCATTTCTTGAATGTTTTAGGAACATTTTGAACGAGAGCTTGCAGTGGCCAGAGAAGAGTCGATGAAACTTTCCGCTCGATTGAAAGTAGGAATCATTCTGCCTTTCCCTTTTCAACTATGATGAAACATATGGGCCTTCAGTTGATTCTATGTTGCTGTTTTAAAGGATGCCGATGAGCAATTAGAGTCTTCGAAGAAAGAAAAGGAAGAAGTCGAATCCAAGCTGTTGCAAGCAGAAAAGGTTGCATCGGAATGGAAAAACAGAGTCAACAAACTTGAAGAAGACAATGCAAAAGTACGCCGTGTTCTGGAGCAGAGCATGACAAGGCTCAATAGGATGTCAGTGGATTCAGATTATCTTGTTGATAGGTAAGTCCGTGACATTTTGCTTCTTCTTCTTCTTTTGACAATGTATTTGTTTCTACAATGTTCACTTCCTTGTCAGATTTAGATTGTTATTTTTGTGGATAGATGGAATTCTGACGCTTTATCTATTTATTTGTGGCACAGGCGAATTGTCATCAAATTGCTAGTCACGTACTTCCAGAGGAACCATAGCAAAGAGGTAAGGTCGGAATCAGTCCAACATTCCCACGATGTGCTTTAGGAGCTGGAATTTTTCATGCTATTAGTTACATCACACCCTTCCAAAAAAAAAAAAATCCCATTTGAATTAGCCGAGGCAGCAGAATTAACCTCCATGCAGATTTCTCTCCGCCATTCGTATTGAGCCATGTCCTCGACTAAACCGATTTGTGCATGCTGGTCTAGGTTTTGGACCTTATGGTACGGATGCTGGGATTCTCGGAGGAAGACAAACAGCGGATAGGGATGGCTCAACAAGGAACCGGGAAAGGTGTCGTAAGAGGCGTATTGGGCCTGCCTGGCCGCTTAGTAGGCGGGATCCTGGGCGGCGGTGGCTCTGCGGATGCACATTCTAATACAGCTTCAGATAACCAGGTTAGAACTTTCATGATTGATCTCAATGATTTTTGACCCTCTTAGTGATCATCTTTGGAATAGATTCGATTCACAGAGTTAAGACGGTGGAGAATGAGTTGTGTACTTTTTTGAGACTGAGGCCGGTTATGTTCTGTCCGTTGCTTTTACAGTCCTTTGCGGATCTGTGGGTTGATTTTCTGCTAAAGGAAGTGGAGGAAAGAGAGAGAAGGGATGCGGAAGATGCAGCGAATAAAGTCAAGCAAGGATCACCGCCGCATCAAACGTCTTTGCCTGATGCTGGAGGAGGGTTCGCCAGGACAAACTATCTTCCCCCATATGAGCATCATTCTGACTCAGAGTACTCGACGGTTCCTCTCACCTCATCCGATAGCAATCCTCGTCTCTCCAGATTACAACAACAGCAACATCATCAATGGTAAAAATACAGATGTATGAACAGCGTTGAAGTTCTCTCTCTCTCTCTCTCTGCTATTCATGCTAAGTATATAGGGTTGTCAATCTGATGTTGTAATTATCTCACCTTGTTCCATTAATTCTTTTATTGTCTTTTTTTTTTCTTGTGGAAGAAAAAAAAAATCAAAGAGTTTCTGTATGACGGATCTTTTTGCGAAAACTAATATTGGATTGGGACTTGGTGAAATAAAAACAGTTTTTGTGGCATGTAGTGTTGTGTTTGTGGATCTTCTCTCAACTCTCAAGTGGATATTTTTGCCGACGGTACTTTATTGTTGTGATCCATTACATGAAGCACCAAACTAGAGTTTCTCGGTCTGAACACTGTGAATGATCGTAATATCTTAGTATTCTACTGTTGCTTATCATGTATATGACGAATTAAAAAATACAAATGGACGACGAAGCCAAGCAATAACCGATGCACCATATTTGATTATATAAATAATAATGCCAAAAGAGAGACGAGCAATATGCAGTCAAATGGGACAGGAGCAATAAACTGAAAACTCTGCCCCTAATAATTAAAAAGCAGCCATGGATCAAAGGGGAATGAATCCAAAACAAAACCAAAGATGATGACTAATAAGAGGACGGACGGTCACTCTCTCTCGCTCTAACCCAACTTAGCTTTGAGAGGGCCAATGGGAATCTTAGAAAGAACCTTCTCATCAAGCACACCGTACTGCTTCTTGAGCTCGACAAAGGCCTTCTCCGCCATTGGGTCGACTTTGTCCTCGTGCTTCTCGTATAGCACCGGCACAGTGTGAAGCAGCACAAAACCTGTTCACAGAATTTTGTTCAGCAGCCTTGACAGCCTAATTGTTTTCAAAACTGACAGATGAAGAAGTTGCCGACTATAGGACTTACATATGTATATCAACGTCAAAAAGTGGCACCAGCTACCCACGACCGAGATGACCCACAGCCCAGCCACGACCTGACATAGAAAGCAAAAACCCAATTCCCTTTTGTCAAAACCCGAGCACTGACACATAACTGCTGCCAGCCTCATTCAGCTTGAGATGAGCACTGACACATGGTTTCATGTATTGCTTCAATGTTAACGGGTAAGATTTAGGAAAGATTGCATTGCAGCAAGTGGAGGAATCTTTTTAAACTTTGAGCTAAATGCCAATACAAAATACTAGTGTTTGCGGAAAACCAATTCATGCAGTGAAAAAATAAACAATTGTTTGACAGCAGTTCTAAGCTGTGAAAAAAGTAGGCATACCATCAGGAATTTCTTCAAGTCTCTTCCTAGAGCAATGTCGCGTAGGACGGTAAAAGCCTGGTTCACCTCATTTCTGAGTGCAGAAGCAACGAGAAGAAAGTGTTCCTCATGAAGATGGATTTCAGGAATCTGCGGTGGAGACCTGAAAAGAAGATTTGAAAGCCATTTACCACACAGGGAAAAGTGAATAAACGGCGACAGGATTAAGGATGGGGAGCTCACTTGTTGATGAAGCTGTGAGCATTGGACCACAAAAACAGGACTGAGAGAGCGAGTATCAAAATGTGACAAACAAGACTCAACAAGTGATACTCAACTAGCTCAAACAGAACCCAGATGGCAGTCGCCGTTCCAAGAACAGCAGCTGACAGTTTCTTATCCCTCCACAAGAGCACATCAGCAGCTGTGCATAGTTAAAGTAAAAAACACTGTTACTTGCCACAAAACAAGAGAAAATTGTATCACACAAAGATAATGCCTATAACACCATTAGCTCATCTGACCAATTTATGGCTTTGGAATGGAGAAATAACCATGCTGCTAAGGTTTTCCCATTGCATGGAATCTAAAGGACTATAAGTAAGACATAAGCTAAATCACGTATAAGACGGTTGCCACAGATCCTCGTTGATTTACCTACATCAATTCCAACGTCCAAACCACTTCGCCCTTTAATTTTGTGAGAATCGATATCACAGTGAATCGATGAAAGAAAATGTAAATCTTACCAAAGCATAAAAAAGGTTCATCCCTGAAACATATCTACCAAGCCACCAAACTTAATTCAAGCATACATTTGGCATTTCCGAAAGCACATATCCTAACATCAAATGGAAATTCGTCTCAAACTAATTTTCCGATGGAGCGTCTAATCATCATCTCCGATCAAATACAAGACGTCAAATTGCAGATCAAACATCGGCGCCAGAGAAAAACGATCAAAATGTGAGGACAAAAAAAATAGGAAATGCAGAAAGTGAGAGATCGGTGACGTACGCTTTCCACCACCGAAGACCTTGTGAACAGGTTTCTCTCTGCCAAACAGACGATAAATCTTGTCCTTCACGGCCATAGGCGACTCCATTTTCTCGTTGTCCGAATCCGATGACGACGACGAATCGTGATCGTGGATCTTCTCGGCGATCTTCTCCAATAGCGACTCCTCCGCAGGCGCAGATTTCTCCATTTCGTCCGCCATTATCTTCCTCCGATCCTGATCCAACCAACGCTCAGAGACACAGATACCTTTACCTGACGAGACAGGAGGGACGAACGAGGTGATTAATGAGGAAAAAATAGGGTACGAGGCTATATAAGCGCGAGTCTCAGGTTGAAATAGGCAAGCTGACGGCGTTAGTATCGTAACGTCTAAACGGCATAACGGACGTTAAAAATTTCGAAGACGGACCCCAGCTTTTGAGATTCTTCTTTAGTGCCTTTGCAGTCGAACGTGGAGGCGACCAATGTACATGTATGTGTGACCATAACCTTTCATAAAAGCAACCGACACGGAACGAGCGCATGCTGGACACGTGTCGATCATCGGGTCAGTGTCCATATAATCGACGGCTGAAACTTCCCCCCTTTTATTTCCAAAACCATGCTTGAAACGACACCGTCTGAACATGGGCCAGTACTAGACTTGAAGTCTCTCTTTGCCTCAGTGGGTTATCATTTGGGCCCACCGCGGCTGCATGGGACATTATTCTAGTTTTAAATATCCCTCTCAAGAGTCTATTATCACATATAAGGAAATCTACATGTAGTAAAATATTATTATTTCATTATGATTGTTAAGGTAGTTAGATATTTGATTTGCATTAGAAGCCTAATTAATTGTATTTAAGTTGTTATTTTGTGGGAAAAAAATGAGAACAACTCTTATGGAGATATGTAAACAAGATCATAAAGATTGATCCGGGATCATGTAATTGATTGGAAAGATCTTTATGAATCTGATGTCAAGTAGTAGGAGTTTCCAACAGATTCGAAATTTTGGATAAAGTTTACTTTTTCATAAATGAAATTGAATCTAACTAAGGATTTAAAGATAAACACAATTTAACTTATTCACTGCCGATCATGACGTCAGAATTCGGGAACTTGATGTCATTTAGAAATACAGAACATTCGCTTAGTCAACGCTTCCAGAATTTAGATATCCTTTCGGTTCCAAGTTCCAACTCTTTGTTGTTTCTAGTTCCGGAGACAACGTACCGAACCAATATGTGACATTGGATACGAAATCTCTTCAACATATTATTGATTCCGGATATGTCTCTTAATTAGCTTCAAACCGTTGGAAAACCAACATCGCGATATCGGGTGAATCAATTACATTTCTTTAACAAAACCGGCAACGTTAAATAAATTCATTTAATGATTAAACCAAAAAAAAAAATCAAGGGCAAATGTGAATCCGATACGAGAGACAAAAGATCAAAACCCTAAGGCGAGGTATTAATTATGTATAATCATAGTGGAGTAACTCTCCGATCGGCGGCATTCTGCCAAACGGCACAACCTCCGATGACGGCGTTGATTGCGGTGTCGGAAGCGGCGAGTTCCGGCAGACAGGGCAAGATCTTTTGAGTTTAAGCCACACGTCGAGACAACACAAGTGGAAACTGTGTTTGCACTCCGGCATCATCCTCAGCATCTCCGCTTCCTTGTACTCGCATAGACAGATCGAACACGTGGTACATCCTCCGCCCTCCGGTTCCTTCGAGAACTGGAATTTAGGGTAGGAGTTGATGACGGACTGATCGAACCTTGGGACGACGCTTTCCTCAAGGTCATGGTCATCGTCGTCGTCTTCCGCGACGAATATCACGCGGGGGGAGATAATGTCGCTTTCTTCGGTGGATACAGCCGCGGAGGTGCGGCGACGTAGGCGGCGGCGTCGGCGGCGGAAGAAGACGCAGGAGAAGAAGACGAAGGAGGAGAGGAGGGAAAATACGGAGAAGCTTATGAAGACCAAGTTGCCGATGCCGAGACCGGTGAGATAAAAGCTCGAGATTGAGATCGACGGTGGAGGCGGCGGCGGATGAAGGAGAGGGGAGACGGCGGAGGAGGACATCTGACGACTGAGGTGGCAGAGAAGGGACTGTGTCCACGTGGGGCTGGCGACGAGAGAGAGAGTTTTGAATGCAGATTTTAAGTTTTTTTTAAATAATATTAATCCGATAGGTTCGGAAACAGAAATTAGGGTCTTGCAATTGGTCAGCGACTTCACTCTCTCTTATTATACGTTCGAGCCCCTTATGATACGATCGTCTCGCTTTGTCAATAGAACAAATCATAATTTTGAAACAATTAAATCACCAAGAATAATCCCAAATTAAAGTATTTATATATACGCTTAAAAAAATACAGATACACATACAAAATACAATAATATATAGTCTATCCCTCATGCAAATCACTGTGATTTAATGCTTTTGCGTATTTCACCAAATTAAATTAAATAATAATGTATACTATAATATATATTTTAACGCAAATAGTTGTGTGTAAAAGTATCTCTAAAACGATAGATCGGTCAAATCCAAAGTAAAAGTTTCAATAAGTCGAGAACACACGACGAGGAGACAGACAAACACAAACAGACATCGATCTTCTGTTCATTGTTTCTTGTCATCATCATCATATTATATTATTTATCATTTAGGGCAAAGAAATCAAAACAAGTCCTTAAGAGTGGGGAGCTTGATCTCGCCCTTGGTGGAGAGAGGGATGGTGATGTTGCCGATGACAGGGAGGTCGATGGTGAGGCCGATGTCGAGCTGGTAGTCAATGTCCCAGTCCGCTCCTATGTCTCGCACCAGGCTGATCGCTATGCTGTGCGGAATCTTCACCGCCACGTCCAGCATTGTCGTGTCTTTGCCCTTCAGCGAGCCCGGGTCCGGTATCGTTCCCGACGCTATTGTCCTGTTCCGTACCCATGTCTCATGCATCAAGGTACGTGACTTATACCACATGTGTATGTATATGTATAGAGTAGTAACCTTCTGTAAAAACATGATCAGTATGCATGACAGTTTTTGGCGTATTTTGTATTTTACTACGAGATATTTATATGACCAGACAGCATTGATTTCATAAACCAAACAATCGAAACCTAATCTGCATGCATAATTTTTTCGATTAATCGCCTAGAGAGAAATCCAATCTTCCTCACAAGATTTTTTTTAATCAAAAACATATTTCCAATGCGTAAAACGCCAGATTTTACAATATATATACATACATATATTATATATATATATATATATAGAGAGAGAGAGAGATGGAACCTGGTGTCGCTCTTGAGGATGTAAGAGATCTCGCAAATGGGGATGGAGTGAGGGTAAGGGTTCTTGACGGAGACGTTAGCGCTGTAATCGACGGAGCTAAGATTCGCCGTCTTGAAGTTAACGTCCGTCACGGACGCCTCCGGCGTCGGAATATTCGCCAGCTTCTCCGCCACGTAACCCTTCGCCTTCTCCAGAAGCTTGGATATCCCCGACGCCTGTTCTTCCTGCTCCTCCGATGCCATTCTCTATCTCTCTCTCTCCTTCAGATCTCAACGCCAATTAGATCAGATCTGAACCATGATTATATACATATATATATATATATACCTATGTATGTATATAGAATAACTTTCCTATTAATTCATGATTACTTTCCTTCTTCTGACCTTTATTACCTACAATTATGCCGTATTCTATGTATGCAAATATTTCTATATCTAAAAAGTATAAAGCATATGTCGGAGACAGAACAGAAACATATCATGGAAAGATTCTCATCCATGAGTGTCATGGTCTGAACGTGCGAAACCCTAACAACGTTGAAGCGTTCACCGAAGAGGAAGAACGTACCGTTGGTGTTATGTTGATTGCACGTTGCAGTCGAAGATAGATTGGGAAAATAAAGAAAGAGACAAGGCCTTTAAAATTTAATATATATAAAAAAAAACAAAGGAAAAGGATTGAGTTTTTTTTTAAACCCATATTTCTTGGCATTCTTGTGGCCTCGCCTCCTCCACGATTTCTTAATGGCTAATTTTGGGAAATAATGTATTTTAATTTATCGATTATTTTTATATTAATTAATGAATATCGGTAAAATATTATCTAATATGATCGATGTACTAGGATCAGTGCGTTACTATAGTATAAAAGATTACATGAAGTGGTTATGAGATATATAGGAAAATATGAATTCCGTTATAGATATTAAAATATTAAAGATATATACAATGATAAAAGGTCAAAGAGTTATTAAAATGTAAAAAAGTCGAATTATTAAAAAGTAACCTTTCTTTTTCTTTTGGAAAAAAACTTCCACCGTGATCATATTAATGGGCTTATTGTGGGCCCATATCATACAAATAAAAAAGGCCCATTAAAGTTAAGCGAAGTCGAAGGCCCATTTGAAACGTGGATTCTGCGCGAGAAAGTTTTGAATTGAAATCCTAGGTTTCCGTTTACGTCCGTCGAACCAGGACGGAGAAGGCTTCTTTCTGGGTGCGATCATAATCGGTTCATCGGTGTTTGTTCTTCGCTGCAGTTTCTATTCACCTCAGCCCGAATTTTCCAGGTAATGATCGTCTTCTTTCAGTCTGTTCATATGGCGCAAAATCTGGTTTTTGTTTCTGCTCAATCTGAAAAATCTGTCGGAGTTTGTGGCCTTGGTATAGAGCGTAGACACAGTACGATCGCGTTTGTAGGATTTCACATCGTACTTCTGTGATCGATCGACACCAAAAGGATCGCTTTATGGATAAGAAATGACGTTTTTTTCAGACTAACCGTGTAGATAAGTATGATTGTCTGAATCAATTTGGTTTTGCTACTTGTTAATCCGTTAAGTCTATCACTAGCAGAGCAGTTGTGTCTCTTCTTCGATTCCTCTGCTGTCCGTTTGCATTCTCTTCTGAGCTTCAATCGCCTGTAGCATCAGTATACATGTAAGAGACAGAATTACCAAACAGAAGAAGAGCCATAGGAAGGGTTCCAAGGGGCGAGGAAGCAGACCTGTTTTTCCCAGTTCGTGCAAGTTACTAAGATCGAGAGCAGAACAGTTTGCATAAAAGTGCCGGCTTGTATTCCGATCCATAGGCCAAGTCCACGTAAGTCTAGCCAGAAAGCTAGAGTTGCAGCTATAGGTATTCCCCATGGATAAAAGGCACCAAGATTGATCCAAGCTCCCAAATTCTGCTTCCCACATCCCCTTGCAATACCTAAAACCGATAAACATCAATGCAAATCGCCCATTTTCGGGTTGGGATCTCGAAGAAATGTCCGTTTCCTCACCCGAGAGCACTGCTTGTATGCTGTCCAGAGAGACGGTCAGGCAAAGCAGAGGAGTGATGGTTGCGACGTAGTCAATGACTTCCTTCTCATTGCTGAAAAAATAGCCGAATGTGTGCCGATTGAAAAAGAGGGTACTGGCCATCACAATTGCCTCAGTGACTGTAATACACATTGCTGCATTGACTGCAAGATTTGCGGTTCGGGGATTTCTCGCTCCTATCTCGTTTGAAACCCGAGTACTGTCAAACAGATAGAATTGAGTCATTTTAGTTTCCTTGATTGGTCGTAAATCATATGTTTCATGTGTGCAGGTAATGGTTGTGTTGAGGCAAAACCTAGCTGCAGCACCAAGGCCTTCGGGTATCGTATAGAGAGTTGTAACAGTTTGAAGGCTGCTCACGACACCAAAAAAAACAACAAGAAGCTCAAATATGAAGTTATGAACATAAGATACAGTCTGTGGGTCCGGTGATAGCTTCAAAAGTAGAAAATACCATGTTGCTAGGACCGAGGTTTCTAGTTGTGGGTTCGGCAACAGCCCTGACAGCAGGATTATCAACTCATATGACCACCATTCTAAGCTGTGATTACCATAATACCATTGTTAGACAGAAGGATGGGTTACAAAAGAAATAGAAGAGATGATAAGATATACCAAATCATTGCAGCAGAAGGGACAGCAAGGCACATAAACTCTCCGGCTCCATGAAATATCTCCACAGATATCTGGCCACGGGTTTCAGAACACGTGGGCGAGAACTTCATGTACGTTACGAGAAAAATGACGTTCAACCAATATGATAAGCTGATCGCCAGTGCTCCGCCGAGATTGCCAAGACCTGATTTGAAAACAAAGACCCAGCAGAGTGGAACATGGATACAGAGAGTGACACAAGAGCTAAGGAGCATAGGAGTTGTCAGAGACTGTGTCTGAAAGTAACGGAAAAGCGGCTGAAGGACAGAGTATGCAATCATTCCGGGAATAAGACAGGCAGCATATCTGCCTGCTTCTTGTGAAATCAATGGGTCTTGGCCGATCCAAACGAGGAGCTTTCCCATGTTGATCCATACCAGAGACAGAGGAAAACATGCTAAGATTAGACACAAGATGGCAGTGTAAGTTTGAAGGCCCAGTTTTCTGTATAGCTTGGCTCCATAAGCTTGGCCGTTGAGCGTTTCCAATGCACTCGCCATCCCAAACTGGTTACCATCAAAGGAAACTCAGAGAATCAACCAAAGTGGTCTGGTAAGAAAAATGATGGAGGAGAAGGATTACGTACAAGAAGACTGAATCCGGTGACTCCACAGAAGGAAGTGGCGAGAGAGGAGCTGGCGAGAGAGAGCTTGCCGAGATGACCCACCATCATCATCGGTATGACCTGCGACAAGAACAGTGAGAGATTCACCGCCACCATTGGAGCTGCTAAGTCACCGAGTGTCTTCACCTCTCGCAAGAAGACGACAGTCCATCCGTGATCTGGGCATAAGCCCTTCTGTCTCCTCGACGGTTCTTCGCTTCTCTCCTCAGGTAACGACAACAACTTCCCCCCCTCGCTTTTTGCGCTTCCCATTTGTTCTGCTCTTTGGTTTTCTCTGATCTTCATAATTATTTAACCTTACTCTTGTTTCTATTAATAAGATAAAGTTTTACCGAACATAACAAGTTGTCAGTTCTTGTCAGGTGTCGTGTTTCAGATCAGAAGAAAAACGAAAAGACCTGCAGATCGATCTCTCTGGAAATGGGATTGGCGAGGTGACATTGACAATTACGGAAGTGCCGTCACTTTTTCATGATTATACCAATTCGAACATATATGATCCATCGATCATTTTGTGCGTACGAGTTAAGAAAGTGAGAGAGGGAGGAGAAGAAAGATGGGATATTAATTAGGGTTTTTTGTGGCTAGTGGGTTTGGGTTGAATATTTTAGGTCCGGTATGAAAAATTGTTTTTGGGCTTGGTCTCAAAATGCAGAACTCGGGCTGAACCGGGTCGACCCGTTTTACATAGCTAACTGAACTTCGTGTGCCTCTGCTTCTAATTCCAAGTGTAAATGATGTACGATGAAGTGGGTCTCCATTTTATTTATTTCAAATAATCTACAGAAAGAGAGTAATAATATATATATATAGAGAGAGAGAGAGGGAGAGAGATGGAATGAGGAGTTTAAGAGGAACTGGAAAGAGAGGAGAGGAAGTGGATTTGGTTGATGAGAGGAGTTAGGGTTTGCATGAGCTTCTCGCATGGATGGTTATGGATTCCTTCGTAGGTTGTCTCCACCATGGCCTTGTCCTCTGTCAACCTCTGCACCTGCTTCTTCACCTCACACGTATTTTGTGTGCATCTATAGTAACTCCTTTTATTTCAAAAAAATACACACTACATCAATATCCATTTCGTGGTCATCAATATTCAAGTTCCATAGCCATGAAAATATATATATATATATATATATATAAATAATACCTTGGGTACAAACTGTTCTTGACAGATTTCTGGCCGTACTTTCTCCACCGGTAGCCGTCGTCGAGGATGTTGTCATCGCTTCTTGTGCGGAATACAAACCTCGGTTTCGTCCTGGCCTTCTTCCCTTTGGTTCTTATACACTTTCTCTCCTCTTCAAATGATTCTCCTTCTTCATTCTCCATCGTCTCTTGAGGTAAGAAGGGTCCTTGTGGATTGGTTACATCAAAAGATGAGATGTTACTGCAAGTATTTTGAACTGAGAAGCTGTTGATCCATGGACCGTAGCTGTCCATGGAGAGGAGAGGAGATGAATCCATGAATGAGAATCTCTTATGAAGGACAACAGATTCTTGGGTTTTTTTTTTTCATGTGTGTATATACTCTTATGAAAGACACAAGATTCTTGTCACGTGTTTGACATGAAGGGGTGAAAGCCAACTACATTCAACTACTTCAGTTCAACTGCCAGTATGTCCAAAAAGACAGACTAAAGGAAAAAAACACCTAGTCTTCAATCTACTACACACCTTCCTGTTGCAGGGTTATCTATATGGGTAACCTTACAATCAAAAGATCAAATTTCCATAAACAGATATGCCTCTGAATGCAACTTTATTAAACATCTAAGGTTATAATCTAAACGTAGTAGCAATGAACCAAACAATCCGATCCTATGAAACTGTAAGAAGGATGAGAAATTGCAATCACATTATTGTCATAGCAATGTGCCTTAGCTGATGACCATCTTGTTGAAGAAATCTTCTTGCTCGGGGAAGTACTCCAAATGCTCATCCTTTGTCACTCACACGAAATCCTCTCACTTGCCTATGCTGAACTTGTTAGCTGCTATCTCTTAGGATTTGAAGAAAAATCGCTGCACACGAGATCGGGAAAGGGAATGAAACATGGAAGCGGGATGATCGGTGAATGGACGAGAGATTCAGGAGAGGAGGTGGTACCTTGAAAGCAGGCAATTCCGGCATATTTTCTGTAGGGTGAATGGCCATGTGACCTCACTGCAAAACGAGACGAAAGAAAGGAGAGCTCATATATAAGAAAAAGATGCAGAGAGGAAGAAGTGATAGAGACGGGATTAAGAACAGAGGCAACAATCATCACGTCTTGCGAAGTGTATCCTCGGACTCGTAGACTTTTTCTGGAAAGTGCCAAACGGGTTTGTCGTTAGGAGCCCCCAATGCCTTACCGAAGACAAGAAGATACAATCTTTGGTCGAGAGCTCTCTGTAACGACCTAGCAACATTCGCAGAGAGGGAATAATGCTCGTAAAATAGAACAAGCTTTAACAGTTTGGAGCTTTTGACAGAAGAAGCGCCCGGAGAATTCTTACTTCTTATCATTTATCTTATCAGCATCTGTAATCCGGGGAGCAGGCTCATAGTCGATGTGATATTCACCTTTAGCCATGTTTCAAGATGCAACACACAGGATCAGCCAAAGAGGCAATGGAGTTTTCACCATATTATATCAAAATTCTCTTTCGGGATCTAATATGCAACAATCCCCCCCCCCCCTTTAGTTCCAACAATATACAGGAGCTTCATGATATTGTAGCATAACCTTCATAATTCCACTTATTAGCATATATAATGGGACAACTTTTGTACTCACAGCCCTTGGACATTAGACTTATACCCTTTCATACTCTAGCTTAGCTTCACAGTCTGAAACCCAAGACTGCATTCGATTTTCAGGCGCAAAGGCCAATCTCAAATGAGTCAACAAAGTGTTATGAAAGAGAAACCATACGGATAAAGGCAGGACTCTCGAAGGGGGAACCATCTGTATTAGATAACAAATGAGAAGCAATTACCTAGACTTGGCTAAGTCCAGAAATTCATCTGGGTATCTACGGCGCTGTCTCCACCTGAATCTGCCACACAGCGGCCAGACCAAGAACACAAGTTAAAAAGCTTTTCAATCCCATAAATTTAAGGCGATCCAGCCCAGAAAGGTTGAAAATTTTTACAGGTTAGAGATCCAGAATCGCAGACTAGAGTAACGTCGTCCCTTACATCGCGAGATCGCAAAAAATGGAAACTAAGTTGAGAAGCACTGACATTCTTTCCTATGATCCATGGCTTACTCACCATCATCACAAAGAGAGAGAAAGAGAGATTACGAGAACTCCTGGAAAGCATGAACAACAGGATCGATTCTGGGAAGAACAACGGGCAATCGCTCGAAACGCACGGAAGCGACGATCTTGTGGGAGCTCGTAGAGAACCCTCGGGTCAACGAGAGAGGCCGAACCATTGCCCGAAAAGATGATTGCATTCTTCAATCTGAACCCTCCGAGGAGGAAGGAACCCTCAACCCCCCGGAGAAAAAGAAAATTCCCAAAAAAAAACCACGAAAATAAAGCTTTATATATATATAAAATCAGGGACAATAGAAAAAACGTGAAATTTTAAAAATTGAGATATAAATATATGAACTCTAAAAGTTAGAAAAAACATCAACTTTGTAAATATTATGTCTGCAATTATCTTACAACGGATTTATGCAATATTTACAAAATGTACGTATTTTGATACAAGTTTACAATTTCGTATATTTATATTGAACTGTTGTATATATTATAATGAGAATATATACATTTTGTACTATATGTTATATATTCATGTCGACCAACCATCAAATCATAATCTTTTGGATTAATAGTTACAAATATTTTGCTAAAAAAGAGAGTAAGTCTGGTTTTTATCCAAAACGGAAAATAAATTGAAAAACCGGTTCAGTTCAATGCGTTTTGCCTTGTACTAGTTGTAGGTGGCGCACCGAACAAAGAGAGCGCCTGTTCATCAACAATGGCTTCATCTCTCTCGAGGAATTGCTCTCGCGTCGCCAGGTCCCTCTCCGTCGCCCTCCGGTGCATGAGCAACGTCCCGGAAAACACCGTCTACGGCGGTCCCAAGCCGCAGAACCCGAACCAGAGAGTCACTCTGACGCACCTCCGGCAGAAGCACCGGAGAGGAGAGCCGATCACTGTCGTCACCGCCTACGATTACCCCTCTGCCGTCCACATCGACAACGCCGGCATTGATGTCTGCCTCGTCGGCGATTCCGCTGCCATGGTCGTTCACGGCCACGATACCACGCTTCCTATCTCCCTCGACGAGATGCTCGTCCACTGCCGCGCCGTCGCTCGCGGCGCCAAGCGGCCTCTGCTCGTAGGAGATCTGCCGTTTGGTACCTATGAGTCCAGCACCAGTCAGGTGATGATGATCGATCAGCAGTCCTTTCATGTTTTCCCCTTTTTGAGTCATGAATTTTACTTCAAGGTTTTGGGGATTCATTGATTCAAATTGCGAATCTATCGCCTGGGTATTCTCAAGTTTGGAGTAGCTGTTGTTCTGTTCAGGTCCATATGCTCGATACTTGGTTTGGGTGATTGGAATTGGGATGAACAAGTCAATGTGACAGCAAAACATTTTGGGTCTTAAGCGTGAAGTAAACTGATTACTGATCAGCTTTGTCTCATTTACTGCGGAATCGCTGATATGTAATGTAGCTAGCAATTTGACGTTATAACTCTTGGATTTAGTGGGCTAAATTTACATCAATGGCTTGAAGATGTTTTGGTTTAAAATGGTGATCAGGCGGTACATACTGCAGTCAGGGTGTTGAAGGAAGGTGGAATGGACGCTATCAAACTTGAAGGAGGCTCACCTTCTAGGATCACTGCTGCAAAAGCCATAGTTGAAGCAGGAATAGCGGTTATGGGCCACGTAGGGCTGACCCCTCAGGCGATTAGCGTTCTCGGTGGATTCAGACCGCAGGGTAAAAACATAGCGAGCGCTGTTAAGGTTTGAGTCTCTGCCTTGAGAGCTATAGCATGGTTGATTGATTTCTGTCTATGTTGAAAAGTTCTGCTGCTGATGAAGTGCTAACTTTCTGGGAACAGGTTGTGGAGACTGCCATGGCTTTGCAAGAAGCCGGGTGTTTTTCGGTTGTTTTGGAATGTGTCCCGCCCCCTGTGGCTGCTGCAGCGACATCTGCTCTTCACATTCCGACCATCGGCATCGGGGCTGGCCCTTTCTGCAGTGGACAGGTCCCTTTGACATTCTCTTTTAAAGTTTCTCAGATTTTGATATCTGTTCATGCCAATCTGTCATCTGTAAGCTTTTTGGTCTTGTGTGTGTTATGTAGATTTAATGCACATATGATGGCTTGAGAATCTCTTTCTCGCTCTTATTCTGAAATATAAATCACATGATAAAACCATGGCATTACCCAAAGTGGGAGATTTATCTTCTAGAACTATAAGTGACATAAATATTCCATGGTAGGGACAGGTTTCTTCTGGAAGTGGTATCCATGACTGAGGGTAAAATCTGTATTTCTTAGATGGATGTATATAACTAGGATTATATCAAGAATGTAAAAAGAAAATCTTTACTCTTTATCCTTGCTTTTTCAATCTATAGTTCCAGATATGTTATCATTATGGTGCTATCATAATTTTTTTTAAATATTGCAGGTGTTAGTCTATCATGATCTTCTGGGAATGATGCAACATCCGCACCATGCTAAGGTCTGATCCCTATCCATTGTTCAACCGGTGAAATGTGGCATTTAACATCTATCCCTCTCGAGTTCGAATCTTAAATTTGAGGAAATGACTTCTTGATCTCTGGATTAGTTTGAACTTCGATCCGGGATACCCAGTTACCAAAAACAAGTCTTCTCCCTTCCTCTTTCATCCGTTGGCTTGATTGCGTTAATGGGCTTTCTAGTTGATGAGTTCATAGCACAATTTTCTTATTGGACATGGTTTCTCTGTCTAGAGAAAAAAACCCATCATGTATGTTCATTGTAATGGTGCAGGTAACGCCAAAGTTCTGCAAGCAGTACGGTCGAGTAGGAGAAGCGATCAATAAAGCACTTGAGGAGTACAAGGAAGAAGTGACCAACAACTCCTTTCCGGGGCCTTCACACAGCCCTTACAAGATCTCATCCGCCGACCTCGTCGGCTTCGTGTCCGAACTGCAGAAGTTGGGTTTGGATAATGCCGCTTCCGCCGCATCCTCCGCCGCCGAGAAGGTGGAACCTTCGTCTGAGCATTAGAGGAGGAAATCTTTTTTTTTTTAAGGCTGCGTCCCCTAATAAAATAATATATGAATTCGGAATTTAATCCTTTTGGGGATTTATTTCTATTAATTTCTAATTGGTTTGAGTTTGATTTTTGGTTAGATTATATCTAGATTCTTTTATTTCTAATCATTTAGTTTTAGTTTAGTTATTGATTCAATTCCGGTTTTTATTATATAAAAACTCACTTTTTCTAAAAAAAAATGTTATTTTTTATTTTCAGTTTATAATAATTCGATTTTTAGACTATTAATATTAGGTTCTAGTGGCAGTGATTATTCGGTTATTATCCTCTTGATCTCTTATATTATATATAATACAAATGTGTGATTAAAGCCCAATTGAAAAGGGGAAGGGCCATTTGTGTTCAATAGAAATGTTGCCGAATGTTTTGTCCACGACCTCACTCACTGCATCTCCCGCGGAGCCCCCAGTTGCTTTCAATCTCGAGGATGAGTATGGCGCTGTCCTCTTCCCGGCGCCGGAGGCTACTTCATATAATCGACGGTCATTGTTTCCTCCGCCGTATCTCCGCCGAGCCTGGACCGCCGCGGTCGGAACAACCGGTAAGCGAAGAATCGGTCACCGCCCAATTTCTGGAGCATCTCCGGCGAATTCCTCAACGCGATTGGTCGTCTTGCGAAACCCTAGATTCTCTTCTCGTTTCTTCTTCCTCTGTTTCTCCTCGAGTGTTCTCTCAAGTTACGTGGCGGCTTCAATCCTACGCCTTGGGTTTCTCCTTCTTCGATTACCTCCATGAGAAATCTCACTCTCTGCAACGCCGTGAAGAATCGCTGTCTTATGCGTTTCAGTCGGTTGTTGAACTCGCGGGTCGCGAGTCTGAATCGTGTGATAAGCTTCTTCAGCTCTACGAAGTTGCTAAGGAGAGGAAAATCCCGCTCAATGTCCAAGCCGCCAAGTTTCTGATCCGGCTCTTTGGGCGTCTAGGAATGATGAAGCAGTCAGTTATCGTGTACGAAGAACTCAATCCCGCCGCAAAGAACACTCATATCCGTAACGTTTTGATCGATGTTCTGCTCAGAGACGGCCTTGTTGATGATGCGTTCAAGGTGCTCGACGAAATGCTTCAAAGAGGATCGGATTTCCCGCCAAACGATATCACGGGTGATATCGTTTTCCATGCGGTTTCAAGGGGTGACCGGAGGGGTAGGCGTATTACCGAGGAGGAGATTGTTGGGTTGGTTTCAAGATTTGGCGTTCATGGAGTCTTCCCTTCGTCCATTTGGCTGACTCGGTTCATCAATAGTCTGTGTAAAAACAACCGGACCGACATAGCCTGGGATATGCTGATGGAGCTGATGAATCAAGGAGCTCGTCTTGGAGCACCTCCCTTCAATGCCCTTTTGACGCGTTTAGGGAGGAACATGGAAATCGAAAGAGTGAATGCTGTCTCAGAAAAGATGGACGAGATGGATATTCGTCCTGATGTGGTGACTTTCGGGATTCTCATCAACACTCTCTGCAAATGTAGGAGAGTTGATGAAGCTTTAGAAGTTTTTGAACAGATGCGTGGAATGGAAACAAATGATGGGGATGTGATCAAAGCTGATGTGATCAATTTCAATACTCTCATCGACGGGCTCTGCAAGTTGGGCCGGTTGAAAGAAGCAGAGGAGTTGCTGATGAAGATGAAAACAGAAGAAGGCTGTCCAGCCAACACCATTACTTACAATTGCTTGATCGATGGATACTGTAGAGCTGGACAGCTTGAGACCGCTAAAACAGTAGTTTCTCGGATGAAGGATGAACGAATTCGGCCGAATGTTGTGACCCTTAACATCATTGTCGGGGGAATGTGCAAGCACCATGGAGTGGGCATGGCGGTTCAATTCTTCATGGATATGCAAAGGGAAGGTCTGAAAGGGAATGCTGTTACTTATACCACACTGATTCACGCTTATTGCAACGTCAATAACATCGAAAAGGCTATGCATTGGTTCCACCAAATGTCTGAATCCGGGTGTCCTCCTGATGCAAAAGTTTATTATACGTTGATCTCTGGCTTGTGCCAAGCCAGACGGGATCGGGATGCCATTTCGGTGGTGGAGAAATTGAAAGAAGCCGGCTTTTCTCTCGACGTATTGGCATACAACATGCTTGTCGGATTATTTTGCAGTAAGAATAAACCGGAGAAAGTCTATGAGATGTTAGCCGATATGGAGGGATCGGGACTGAAACCCGATTCTGTCACTTACAACACCCTCATTTCCTTTTTCAGCAAACACCAAGACTTTGAAAGCATTGAAAGAATGATGGAGAAAATGAGACAAGCCGGATTAGTCCCTACTGTTGTGACTTACGGGGCGATAATTGAAGCATACTGCTCAAACGGGGACACGGATGAAGCGATCAAGCTGTTCAAAGACATGGGTTTGCGGTCCAAGGTGATGCCAAACGCGGTGATATACAACATTCTCATAAACGCGTATTGTAAGAAGGGTAGCATCGATCGGGCACTCTGTCTGAAAGATGAGATGAGAGCAAAAAGGGTCAGACCGAACGTGGAAACGTACAATGCGCTGTTCAAGGGTCTCGGGGAAAAAAACCGAGTGGAGAAAGTGTTCGAACTGATGGATGAGATGGTCGAGAATTCGTGTGAACCTGATTACATCACCTGCGAGGTGTTAATGGAGTTGCTCTCTGCCGATGGCCACATTGAGAAGCTGAAGAAGTTCTTGCAGGGTTCCAAAGTCTTTACCCCAGATGATAGAGCTGCTCCTTTGGATGCCTTCAAATGCTAATTTCTTTCCCTTTATATATATATACACATACATATATATATGTGTATGTATGTATGTGTCTACTTTAGATTCATATTGGTTCTGAGAGAGGCTATTTTGCAATAGTGCTGATTTATTATATGGTATTCTTCTCTCAAGTTTCATGGGTTGAATGAAGTTTTGAGTTTTGCAAGAAGCTGGTGGGTTATTCGAAAATTTTATGGTATAGAACTATGTTCCTCACGTTGTAATATATATATATATCTATATATATATATATATATCTCCTTTTA